CAGGTATGTTGTGTTTATACCTGTTATTTATACACATACTTATCGATTTAGACGACTGAGTTAGGCTTAAAATGCCTTTACCATAATCAATTAACGCTAAATATTGTTTTAAAAAGTTATCACCTATTATTCCATCTGCAGAGCATGACAGGTTCTTAAATACGTAAAATTTATGTCTAAAAGTCATACTGTTACTACTTAATTCTAAATAAATGTAACCTTCTGATATTAACCTACCGCTAACACCTCTAATAGTTAATCTTTCGGGAACAATTTTATTTTTCAAATCACTAAATACCTTAGCTAAATATTCATACTTAATTACACATAAACTGGCACCAGTGTCTATTAATAAATGTATTACCCTATCTCCTAAACTAAAAGCTACCGTACTCGAAGTATTATAATTGAGAACTACATGCTCGGTTTTCGTTTGAGGAACGAAAAAACTGACTCTCACTCATGGTTGAGGTTGGAGCTCGAGGCTGCCTTACCTCAGTGTCGCAGTACGTATGGTGGACACGGGAATAGCCTCGTGTACGGGGCTGATACTGCGCGCCTGGCGTTGACCAGCGCGCGCCCGGGGAGGGTGCACCTCGACCTCGAGCGGAACCACGTCGCGGCACAAACGTGCGCGGCGCGCTCACATTATGCGACTGGATCGGGTTACCGTATTGAGCACGCGAGTTACTATAATAATTATTGCCAATATTTCTACCGCGGAACCCTTTATTAATAAAATGAAATGTTTTCGTGGACTTAGGGTGGTGACGAAAATTCATAACTTGTTCCCCACTGGTAGAAAGCGTCTGCTCGTCTATAGCACTACGGATTGCCTCAGGAAGAGAAAGAAATTCCTTTGATGCAATAATAATACTCAATCTAGAGTTTGCCAAACCATCGGCAAAGCGTTTTATAGCGATCTTTTCATTAATTGGTCGCAATACGTCATATTTTGAACTATCGCCATCGGCCTGTGCTAATGTCAAATTAGAGAAGATATCTTCTAGTTCATTACCGAATGCTTCTATTGACCTATTTCCCTGTTTTACATTTTGTAACCGAGACTGAAGAGCGACTGCCGATTTTCTTTGTACTAAATCATTTTTCATGTCACTGAGCAATGAATCAACTGTAGTATAGCTACCGCGTAAGCGAAGTTTCGCGCTAGGAGATAATCTTGTTTTTATAACAAAATCTATAAGTGAATTTTTCGATGTCTCATCAAGTTTAGAACTATACATTTCTATACCGTCGATTAATTGTTTGGTGACATGTTCCTGACCAGTCATTATGGGAAGTAAACTAATAGCCGTTTTAAAGTCAAAGGACATTGTATCTGCCATTTTTACAGTTTTAGAACTATCGGGATCTCTAGTTGCAAAAGTAATTGGAGTAGTTGGGTTCCGTACTGGTGTTTCTCATTCAACACCTCGGTACACACGCAAACAAAATATACTCCCTACGAGCTAGTGTTTGGAAAAAATTGTATTTTACCTAGTAACTTAAGTGACTCTGTAACTCCCTTATATAACTATGATGACTATCCTAAGGAACTTCGACATAGACTACAAAGAGCACTGTGTGATGCGCGAAAAAATTTATTAACTAATAAATTATGTAGAAAAAATACATTTGATAAAAATAGCTACCCGATATCATATAAAAAAGGAGATTTAATTTTGGTAAAAAATCAAATAAGAGATAAGTTAGATAGAGTGTATAACGGCCCTTATGAAGTAATAGAGGAATTGTCACCTAATGTAAAGATATTAAAAAATAATAGAGAGTACGTAGTACATAAGAATAATACGAAACTTTATAATGATAATATTTAGCTGAATGTATGTGGTTGAAAAAAAAAATGTAACACTTTTTTTTTCTTTTTTTTGAGGAGAGGGGTGTAATGGAGATTTTTGGGGGGCGTGTGATAGTATGAAAATAATTTAATAAATATGTATTAATAATACAACGCAACATTGAATGACACGAAAGTAGGCCACGTGAAATGCTGATGTTTTGTAATAATATTGTGTGTTATATTTTATAAGTGTGTGTGTGTGTAACTACGTAGTGCACTAATATTATAAATAAGTATGTTTTGTACCATTAAGCCTTCTTCAATAAATGGACACCAACCTATCTACGTCTTTGTATTTATTATAACCTGCCGCCATCACCCAACATACCACAGAACGAGCAATGTCCTTTAACATCAGTCTCTCCTTTTCATTCTGTATAGAGAATGACAAGGATGCACTGTTGTCAAATTTAAGTTTAGCTTTAGAGAATCATGCCAGAATCGACATCAGTACACATATAAGTATATTTTTATAGAAATACATATTAAATATCCATGACTGAAGTGCAAATGCTCGTATTCATCACACAAACATCTGCCCCCACCGGGATTCTAACCCGGAATCTCTCGAGTCGGCGACACCATGAAATCCGGCGTACAAACCACTCGACCACGGAGGTCGTTGATAATTTTATTAGATAGATACTTTGCATATATCTTTACACGAATCACTTTCTTCCATTAAAAATCGTGTAAGTAAAGGGATGACTAACTTATTTTTCTTCGTCTAGGATGTAGATTATCAAAAAGTATTGAATACTTTTTTTTCACATAATAAAAACATGATGGAGATATATTAATTTAAAAGTCAAGTAAACTGATGTTTACGTACAATTTTTACTTTAAAGTGTCGTTACGAGCCCTTTTTCCCAAACTTGGATGTGTTTTCATCATCATCATCACATAACCAGCCTATTAATGTCCCCACTGCTGGGGCACAGGCCTTCCTTATGGATTGAATAGGGAGATTGGGCCATGAGCCATGACCCATCACGGGGGCCCAGTGCGAATTGGTAAATGCTAACGACTGCAGATAGAGCCGCGGGACTGACGGCTTAACGTGCATTCCGAAGCACGGAGGAGCTCGAGATGGTAAATTTTTGGTCACCCATCCAATGAACGACCACGTTCGCCGTGGTCGTTAAGTTGCATAACTTAAACGATCGCAGCCGAACGCGCTAACCACTTACGCCATCTAGCTCCTCGCCGATGCGCTTAATCTTTGCGATTTTTGGTTGAATGATAATAGAAAAAATAAGTGTCCAATATTTTCTGATAATCTAACTGACAAACTAAATAGATTTTTTTACTTCATCTCTTCATTATAATATGCATAATGACGAGATGAAGTAAAAAAAAATAATAACACTTAACAACTTAAACTTAATTTTGTTTGGTACTTATAAATTAATTATATCAAAAAAGCAAATTGTATGCTATGGATACGATTTAATATAACGGTAATATAATATATACATAATTATGATATTTGTGCTTATAACATGAAGTAATTAATGCTTCTTCTAGGATTTGAATCCCAGCCCTTGAGACCAGACCAGGAAAGCTGCAGTGGCATCAACAGGTTGTGGCAACGCGGTACCTTTTCACTTTACTTTACGAAGTAACTAGATAGATACCTATAAATTTTACTTTGTATTTACAAAAACAATGCCAAAAATAATGTGCTACCAACATAATATCAAACAGAAAAATATTATTACTACGTCGACATTTATATTACCAGAGCGACTGAGTCTTGCTGAAATATGAAAGTTGCTTTTGGAAGTCACCAAACCAATATCTCACCGTTTAAAAAGCGAAAGAGCAGTGACAACGAAATCCTTTTATCGGAGTTCATCATTCCCCTCTGTAGCGAGAAAAAATGAAACCGAATACGTGGAGGCACAAGAGGAATTTATTCTCTAATGGCAATAGCAGCTTTTGTATAGATTCGTGACATATTTACTTACAAAACAATGGGGCCATGCCGCTGCTCTAGAAAAGCATGACTCGCCCTCGGCGCCCTTGAGATTGTTCGTCCCCTATCCCATTGAGTCAGTCTGACAACCCCAAGCGACCCCGAGTGTGACCTACACAAGGAGTACACAAAAAGAATTACTTTGCCATCACTATTTTAAACCTAATTCGTTCACTAAAGAGTTGCTAAAACTACATTCGATGAGACGTTGCTCTAGTGGAGAATAAGAATTATTTAAAAAAAGAAGTGTCGACTGATCGTAGTTGAGGATGAAGACCTCGATCAGTCCCGTTTCATCTCCCCTGAACTCGGGTCCTAACCGAATGTCGTCATCAAAATTTACTCCTGCCTCCTCCCTCGTCCCTCTCCTACTGGGCATGCGCCCCAAGGATACGACGTAATCAAATTGTGATAATATGCCCTTACACTCAAACTGTCTATGATTAAATTATATTTTATAAAATCCATTAAACATTATTCCGAATCAGAAAATTTAAGCACAGTCATAATAATTTAAGTATCTTGTGACAACTCTGTGATATCAAAATGTGATTACTAGAAAAAGAAAAAAGAAAATGTATAATTAAATCACAAATACGCGATTGCATTTATTACTTTTGTAATGTTTTTTTTTTTGTAATATTTTGAGAAAATTTTAATTCTAACACAATTTGTGAGCTGAATATTTTGCCGCCAGCAATCTCCACACACGCATGCGCTATCCCAAAACGACCCGCAGTAAAACGACTGGTCACGTGACTTGACGCGGCATTCGCTCGTCGCATGTCGGCAGTCGTCGGCGAACCTGCCCAGCGGACGGTGTTCCCGCGCGTGTCGGAACGAAATCACCACCCAAATGTCAAATGAGATGATTTCGAAAAAAATAGTGACATGTGCTTCGTAATATCATAAACATTCGTCGTACAGTTGCGTGTTCCGTGTCCCGTAGTGGCATTCGCGATTATTAACCGTTTTATTATCGATGTTTGTAGCGAAATACGTAGTCCCGGTTCTGTTCATGGAGGTGTTTTTGCTAGCCCATAATAAAACATTTTAACTCATCTCCGGGTTAGTAGGTACTGTTTGTGACTATGGGATTGGTAAATTTGAAAAGTGTTGTGTGATTTTTGTATTGTATGATGCCGGTGTAAATTGTTCACGATGGACCGCGTGAGTGGCGTGTGTAGGTTCGGAGGAGTGGTGTCGGCGGTGCGAACTAGGACAGGAAGAAGTAGACGAAGAATAGGTGGTCACAGTCAGATACCAGAAGATATGCCGGAAGCTCCGAGGCGAGGGCTTGGCGCTGTGCTGGTGCTTGCGTGCATCGTCGTCTACCACAACTGCTTGTACTGTGGCTTCGTATTCGACGACATCAGTGCCATAAAAGAGAATAGAGACTTGAGACCACAGACACCAATCTCCAACATCTTCCTCAACGACTTTTGGGGGACACCAATACACAAGGTGACGACTAAACCGAAACGTTTCCTACTAGACTTACTAAGAAGTAAATTAAATACCAATAAGCGTAAACACACCATTGAAATATGTGAAAAGTCTTTTTTTATAAGCATTTTACTACAGGATTTATAAATCTTAAAACAATTTAAATATATAAAAAAATCTACTCTGGTGAAAAGAAAAGTCTTTATTTTAGCTATTTGAACAAACATAAGTAATCATATTTAATTACATATTTAGGTTGGTCATTTTCCCAGCGTACAAAGTTATTGTTCGTATATTTCTCGCAAAAAATAATAACAGAATCTGTTGGTGACGTTTTCCCCGAAATGGAATCACGATACGGTATGGGTAATTTTGTGTCTTTTAGGGGACGCTTTCCAATAGGAACGTCTAAAACACAATATTCAATATTCCTGTTACACTTCTATATCATTATTAGACATATATTTATTATCATCGTTTTTAGGGTTCCGCACCTAAAGGGTAAAAACAAAAGTATATTACCTACTACTTTATGATTCGCAATACTTAAATCGTCTTCCTTAGGCTTATATGAGTACTAGCGGCCGCCTCCGAATTCGTCCGTGATCCCACAGAAACCTAATATTTTTCGGGTATAAAACGTATCCTATGTCTTAATATCACAAACTATATGTTTACCAAATTTCATACAAATCCACCCAGTAGTTTTTTGCTGGATAGTGTAACAACGTACAAACTTACTAACTTTTACATATATGATACTAGCTGTTACCCGCGGTTTATTGGGGATATTTTCCCACAGTAATATGCAGCATATGTTTTAATCCATGGTGTCAGCTAACTCCATACCAAATTTAAATAAAATCGCTGCAGCCGTTTAGACGTGAAGAAGTCACAAACTTTCGCCTTTATAATTTAAGTGTGATTAGTAGGTTTCTCAATTCATTAATATCATTCATTACCCACCCATCATACAAAATACTTAAGCACAACCCTTCCATTTAAAATGTACATGAAACACAAAATTATTAATATTTATAAATTCACGAGATAAAATACGTTCAAAGGGTTTAAAATACTGCGACACATTACCTCTGTGCAGGTGCCGTAAATCAACCATTTACGTGTTGGTAACCGAGAGATTTATGGTCGTAATCATCATGAATGTTTCAGCCGTGTGCATTACCCGAACCACCAGAATATACTACTTTGCCGAGCAACTTTTCAGTGCTGAAATGTGATTTGTCGCAGCGTAATTTTGTTTTTCGAAGAAAGTATTGATTAAAGTTATTTATTTCTCTTCATTTAGGACGTTTACCATTTGGTATAATTTGAAGCACGGCAATCATTAAAAATACTTAAGTGACAGCCTTGCGAATGAGGAGCTTCGAAAAGATTCGAAACGTCAAGAAAATTGAAAAAAAAACGGATTTATCTAGGGTCGAGGTTCATATCCGTTCCTTCATTTAATATTAAATAGCACAAAAACTAATAAATAGAAAAGCGTATCTACGCTGAAATATTTTAATCTCAATATCCTTTGACATCGTCTCGACACGAGCACAATGGCGCAGCACTTTGGTCGAGACATTGTAATGGAAAACATAATCAAAGTAATCGTTCCTTCTCTTATTCAAATGTATTCTCGTTGAAATACGAATGTACGTGGGTTCAGTTCAGCCAAGACTCGCTTGGTTTATCTTGTATGATGTGCAAAAATGTGTACCTAAAATACCTCCGCACGAACATATTAACTTCGAAATCTTTCCCTTTTTGAGCTATTATAGCTTTCAACGGAGGGCAAATGATATATTGCTGAGGCATTATGTTTTGATATATCTTTGAGCATATTCAAATATTCTCGAGTCCATTTAGCTCGTGAATGGTACAAGTTCGTGATTACGTCCTAAGGAAGGGAGATTAAATGCTACAGAACTCAGTGAAATTCTTTGTCATGAGAAAAATTGGCGTGGGTAGGTAGTTTTTATTTCATCATAATTTCTGAATGAAATTGAAATGTAAATTAGGAGTGGGATTATATTTTTTATACAATCTTTCCTTAAGATTTGATAAAGGTTGCTAGAACAAAATTTATCTAATCCTGCCTTAGGGACCGTTTTATTATTTCAATATATATTTTAAAATTCTAGTGAACATTTTTTACATTATATCAAAACGGCATTAAAAAATTCAAAGATACGAACTCAGTGTCGCTCCATACACATAAAACGTAATTACCCTTGCAAAATGGTCGAAGAAAATTGCAAAGAGCCATAATGGTACACACTGAAGTTATCAAGTTAAGTGCACCCTTAACCATGAGTTCGGACCGCCAGAGCCGTTTGAAAATTATGAAATAAAGCACAAAATAAAGCTCCATAAAAAATAAATTTCGTACGAGACCACTTACAGTGTGGTATAATGTATAAGTTTTACACAAGCAGTAGACGTTTTTAAGTAATACTTATCAATTTTATTGATAATTAAATATTAACGAATATGATATTAACCCTTGGAAATACAATGCAGGTGTGATGTGTAGCGGTTAAACTAATTGAAGGCAAATTACGTAATTCTATCCAAAAAGAACCTTGTCATAAAATATTCCGTACATAAATGGATACCGATATCATAACCCCAATTTTTTAGAAAGAATTATCCAATTGGCTACATTTTGGTAAATCACTCTAATGATAAGATAGATAATCTACATTCATTACATAATTAGAATTATTTCACTTTAGTAGATTTTTAGAACATATAACAATAGTTTTAAAAGAAGGTACTAAAAGTGAGTGCTTATCATTTCCAAAACTACATATCAAACGTTTGTGTTACTTAATATAACTAAGGCGTAACTAAACACAAATCGATATTGCAGATGAAAGAATCTGACTTAACGTAATAAAACAAAGTAAATCAGCTAAATCAAACAATCTACTTCTTTATTCTTTTTCCATGGGGACTATAGTTCTCAATTTATTATTTATTAATCGCAATCTTGTTTGGGATGTCTGTAGAAATGGACAAAAACATCTTTGTCAAGTTTTCGCGTAGAAACTTTTCACTTAGGCAACTCCAGGTGCTTTCAAAAAGATTTCGTGTTTCAATTCTGTCAGTGGTTCTTCGTAAACAATCAAATCTGCAAAATGGGAACCTTGCCCCGTTCGTAAACAGACTACTTATTCCGGGGCGAAGTTTGAGCGAAAGAGTTTTTCGATTGTTTTCCCTCGATCCGGTTGAGGCAGTGTGATTATTCAGATAACATGCCTGTCGAGACCCAATCCCATGGATTAAGAAAAGAAATGGCGAGGGTTCCGAACGCAGACAAGTCCGTTGTTTAGGCCTGCGAGGGAAAATTGCTTTCTTATTTAACTTTTTTCCCCAATATCTGCATAATAAGCTTACAACGATTGTTTTTCGATGATACTCGGCATATTTCTTCCTGGCTTCGACTCTTATATTATTTACGTATATGTAAAGTGAAACGAGTATCATTGTTTACATCGAATGTTTTCACGATATTTACAACTAAATTGTTATCTGTTATTAACTAGGTAGTTCAGATGATAATAATATAAATGGATAGAACCAACTTCTCTGAAGACCTTTATTATTTAACCAGAAGTCGCTAAACAGCGAAATTAATCCTTAGAATGCACATATCCAGAATGGATGGGGTCGACAGGATTATATAGCATTTAAATAAGAGCTTAATGCCGTTTCACACGTCAGCTTAGTCGAATGCCCTGACTACCGGTATATCCAGAATGCAAATAAGATATCAGGACATAGCGACAACGCGTTTATTTATAAACGTCTACGGTTGAAAGAGAATCCTTTATGTAAATATTATATGTTTTATTTATCGCCGCTTTACGGCTTTCGGTCTCACCTAACACAACAGAGATTTGACAAAGGGAAGAATCTTACCGCGAATATTGTCGCTGGTATTTTTACTCGGCAATAAGACTGTGTTGAATTACTTGACCTTAATTATTTTGTACAATCCTAATAATCGAACTCTTTCTTTGCATACGTTAAGAAAAGACAAACATACTTCTCATTCTCTCATTCGTATGCAAAAACTAAGATAAGTTTCTCATATTTTTGTGAGAGTGTTATTAGTTGTTTTCCGAAAACAATAATGTCAAGATTTACATAATATTCCAACCTACCCAACTTTTTGTACTGTATGCGCAAGAAAGTTATCAGCTAATTCATTATTGATAATTTAATACATTATTGCTAATGCTTTTTTGTTTTGCTTCCTGTCTAGCTTAGAACAATCTATATAGGTGTTCATAATAAATTTTCATCATTTTCAACATTCCCCTAAATCCGATTGAGCTTCCACTGACTAAATTTAAATCTCAGATCAAAAGTACTCTTATGAATAAGGGCTATTATAAAGTTGATGATTATCTGAATGATCGTAATGCATGGTCATAGTGTTTCTTATAATTTGTTATTTAATATAATATAATATAATATGTATTAGTCATTTTTATAACAGTAGTATTGTACCTATCTAACGCCGCTTCCTATATACTAAATATATTGTTAACCATAAAATTTATTGTAACTATATATTTATATTCTAAATGATGTAATGGAAGGTGACTTAAGACGTATCTCTAAAGTCATTTTTCAACTTGACGACTCTGTATATAATAATACAGGGAGAAAAAACAGCCCTTGCTGAGTTTCTTGCCGGTTCTTCTCAGTACAAGTTCTCCCGCCGTAGTTTCGCGAACCGATGGCGTAGCTTCTTGACCTTCACAAGTGCTTGTAACAGCCTAGACTGAATAAATGACTTTTCATTTCATTTCATAACTATTTTGGCATTTTTCATACATTGATGTTATTTTGACTTTATTAAAATTTACACTAGTCTAGGATTCAAATCTAGATGATGATACGTATCGCCAAGACTTTCAGCATTACCACTATTCAAACTAAGATTTGAGAAGGGGTATTAATCATTCGGTTTTATTTGCAGTTCCCGCGAAAGCAGTATTTAGTCAGAGTTTACCTTTGGCTCGCAAAATGGTCGCTGGTTCGCTGTTCGCATCCATCAATGTCAACGGAACAAGTTTTTCTTTGGGCACTGTTGAAGTGTTGGCTCCCTGTTTTCGTTTACAAACTTTCATCCAGTGTCATTTTAAATATTGGCTTCGTGAAGTTCGATTAGTACGGTGATTCGACGATACCGGGATTGTTCGAGCAATATTATATCTTTTCGCTTGACGAAGGGAAATTTTCTTTTCATCTTATAGGAGGATATCTCAGAACTTTGTTTAAATAACAAAACAAATATAAGTATAACAACAATGTTATTCGATATTTCTTGGATGCATTTTATTAATTCCATAATAATCTTTACGCTGCGTGGTTGCTTT